TTGGAAGAAAGAAATTATGAACAGTCGTCTCTGGGCAAACTCAGAATTAATGAAGCAATATGTGATAATGAAAAGGAAATCTCACAATATGTGGCCAAGTTCTATGAAACACTGTACAGTGCTGACTCAGTAGTCCAAGATAGTATTGCAGTGTTTCTTAAAGGCTTAGAACCAGGTATTTAAAAAATTGATGACAACTTTAAGTTAATCTGTGACCAAAAAATTATTTTAAAGGATGTGCAAACTTGCATTAAAGCTTCGAAAGACAATAAATCACCTGGAAATGACGGGTTAATAGGAGAATTCTACAAAGATTATAGCAAGACATTAGCACCATTTTTAGCAGCAATGGTTGAAGAAGCTTTAGAAAAAGAGGAGTTATCTCCAACCCTGAAACAAGGGCTAATTAAATTAATTCCAAAACCAAACAAGGACAAACTTAGCATTGAGAACTGGAGACCGATCAGCCTGCTGAATAACGATGCCAAAATATTTGCCTCAATTTTTGCCAAAAGGATAAAGCTTGGACTAAATGACATTATTGATGAGGAGCAATCGGGATTTATGCCTGGAAGAAACATAGTCAATAATATAAGATTAATATTGGACATGATTGATTATAATTGTTATATTCCTGATGAAAGCCTTATTTTGTTTGTTTATTTTTATAAAGCATTTGATACAATCAGTCACCAGTTTATGTTTAGAACTATTCAGTTTTTTGGATTTGGAGAAAAGTTTCAAAAAGTGGTAAAAACTTTATGTAAAGGATGTAACAGCTCAGTAAAACTAACATGTGGTACAACCCCCAGATTGTATATAAACCGTGGAATTAGACAGGGCTGTCCATTAAGTCCCTTTTTATTCCTTTTGGTTACACAGGTCATGGCTGTACATATAAAAAAGAATCCATTTAAAGGTATAAACGTGCTAGGCAGAGAATTTAAATTAGCTCAACTAGCAGATGATACAACGATATTCTTAAAGGATAAATATGAAGTAAGTACAGTAATTAGCTGTATTGATGAATTTTCAGCTGTATCAGGTCTAAGAATGAATTTAAATAAATCTGTGCTATTCAAAGAAAGTGATCTGTTGGACCTGAATGGTATTCCTGTAAAGAACACTGTCACTTGTTTAGGTGTGGTTGTTGATAAAAATGAAAACAATCGCTGCAAGTTAAATTTTAACCCAATTACACAACAAATAGCCAAGAGGTTCAATATGTGGTTGATGAGAGACCTGTCACTGAGTGGTAGAGTTCTTCTTTCTAAAGCTGAAGGTATATCCAGATCCGTATATGTGTCCCTGTCTCTGGAAATGCCCCCAGCAATTTACAAAAAACTAGATCAGACTGTATTTAATTTTATCTGGAGGAATAGATGTCACTATATAAAGAAACAAATCTTATGTAACCCTAAAAGTAAAGGAGGCATGGAGGTGTTAAGTTTTGAAATGCTGAACAATACTTTCAAAGTGCAGTGGTTAGCAAACCTAATCAAAGAGAGAGACAACATCTGGAATATTTTTCCAAAATTTGTGTTTAATTCTGTTGGTGGAATCCACTTTTTATTGAAATGTAATTACAAAATAGAAAAACTACCGGTTAAACTGTCAAACTTTCATGAACAAGCTTTACTTGCCTGGAAACTGATTTATAAGCATGGCTTCTCACCAACTAATCTCTACATCATCTCTACCAAGGGGTGTACTGCAGCTTCTTAGAAGCTCAGAAACTTGTGATTTTATTTTTCCTACTGCTGGATCGTTTAATAGTCAGATTTTTGTGGGGGAAATCGATATAACAAAGAAGAGATGTTCAAACAAATATATTAGAAATTGTATTCAAACCACAACTTTACCTTTAGGACAATCTTACTGGAACTCATTTTATGGAGAAATTAGCTGGCAGAAAGTGTGGACGGTTGGTGAGAAGTTTTGTTTAAACAATAAAGTTAAAGAAGGTTCATTTAAGATATTACATAAGATTTATCCAACACAAAAAATACTGGCAAGGTTTAATATTGATATTGATTTGTTATGTAAATTCTGTGGGAATGAAGAGGAAACAATTCATCATCTGTTTTATCAATGTGCATTTTCAAAAGCATTCTGGACTGATTTACAGCATTATATAAGGACAATAACAGGACAAGTAATTCTTTTAAAAGAAAAGGACATTTTCATTTATTTTGAAGAAAATCTGGCTGTTGATACAGTCTTTTTTGTTCAACTAATCCTGATGCCAAACACCAAACCAAACGCTGATCTCTTTGTTTTGGAACTGCAGTGATATGCCACTACAATTAAAGACTGCAAAAATAAGAAAGCTGTCAGAACAAACCGTGTGCTTCAAAATCTCAATATTCATCCCAGTTAATGAGGTATGTGTACACCCTCACTGGTAAACCCTGGCAATAATGGTTGTAATATTGTGTTCTTGCATTGTTGTTTTTTTGTTGTTTTTGTTTTGTTTGTTTTTTGTTTTGTTTTTTGTTTGTTTTTTTTTTCTCTTTTCTCTTTCTTTGGGGGGGTCTTGTTTGCTTGTCTGGTTGTTTGTTTGTATGTATATATGTATTGGATGTAATCTGTAGCTGTGTCAATAAAATTTAAAAAAAAAAAAAAAAACTTGGCTTGGCCATGGGCGAGAGATGGGCATCCCAGTTGGCCAGCACATATGGGAACTAGATGGGGTCCCAACTGGGCCATAGCCTATTGTGGCTATTGGTGACTTGCTGAACTCTTGTGCTCGTAAACATAGTCTGACTAGAAACACGTGTAGCGGTACAAAATGGTTTAAGTCGCTGTAAGTCCTTCATTTCCACAATCTTGTGGACTGAGCACACGGAGTTAAATCTCTCAGCATTCATTTTCAAGCTCTCTGTGTGTTTGTGTCCTTGCGGACGAGAAAAGGGGGAGCACACATTTCCGAGAAGGCGTGTCCTTTTCAAAAATGCAAGAAGCGTTGCTTTGTTGCCGGCCGTTTTCGCCGGTGTGTTAAACACACTTTAGAAAGGAGTGTCCCCAGACTATAAGAAGGCAGAGATCTCTGATTGTCTGGTGGCGAGACCACCTCCTGTCTCACTGCTCACCCACCTCCTCCCTCCTCCACTACACACTGCACCCACTGCTGCCAACTCCTCAGTAAGAAAAGTAGCTATTGGCTGTCCTAAAAGTCGCTAAATGACGTCATTGCCTAATTTGCATAATTGTCCATATTCATGTAATTGTAATGGCTGCTGTAGGAGAGAGGAATAATGTCGTGGGAGAGACAAAAACTGAGTTAAAAAAAAAAACACCCTGCATATGTTTAGAACTACAAATGAACCTTCTTTCAGTGATTTATATTAGCCAAAGAAAATTTTACATTTACAACCCGCCCTGACTGTAAACCAGGTCGGGATCAGAGCGATAGATCAGCCAGCGGCGGTTCCGCGCATGCGCAATTCACTTGCAGTCTGGACGTGGAGGGGTTAACGTCTCCTGCTCTGACTGCTGCTGGGAGGGAGGACTGGGCTGTCGGTGAGTGCTTTGGGGCGAGAGGGGAGCCCACGGTTGCATCTGCTGCCCGTTGAGAAGAATGAGAATGATAATGATACGTGCTCTCACAACAGAGTCTCCAGAAGTCTTCAATAACATCAGAAAAAGTCGCTAGATTTGTCGCTAGTCGCTTTTTTGAAAAGAGTCGCTAGAGGGGTCTGAAAAGTTGCTAAATATAGCGAAAAAGTCGCTACCCAGCCAACATGTCCAAGTGGGGCCCACATGGGATTTACTTGGGTTACATGGGCTTTAACTGGGCATGGGCTCAGAGTGGGCTTTTAAGTGGGTTGGTGTTGGGCCCCATGTGGGCATCCCAGAAGAACATACATGGGCGAGAGATGGGCATCCCAGTTGGCCAGCACATATGGAAACTAGATGGGTCCCAACTGGGCCATAGCCTATTGTGAAATGAGTTGGCAACACTGACTGCACCACACACACTTCTCCCTCAGTAGCACCTTCTCTGCAACTGGAAACACAGGACATTCACACCATAAAAATCATTATTACACTTAGAAAGTTGAAACCCGGGAATGTTTTTAGACCTAACTGTGTTTTTAACATCCATTTGAAAAGTCATGAAGAGTGCACTCCCTTTTAAACAAATCTTTTATCATAAATTATTTAATTTTAGACAATAACCTAGACAGTATTCTCCTTACAGAGACATGGCTTGGCACCGACTTACCTGTTCCCTGTCCCCACCAAATTTTAACTTTTTATATTCTATTAGGGGAGGTAAAAGAGGAGGCGGACCTGCATCAGTAACAAAAACCACAATGTCCTCAAATGAAGTTTCTTTTAGCAGTTACACGTCATTTGAGCATCATGCCTTTGTTTTTAGCAGCCCTCCTATCCTTTGCATAACGGTTTACAGACCACTCCAGTACTCCACTTCTTTTATCAGTGATTTCTCTGAATTATTATCAGTCATTCACTCCACCTACAACAGGATTTTAATAACTGGTGATTTTAATCTACACATTGACAACACCTCGGACCCAGTATCCAGAGAATTTTTAAACCTCTTAAACTGTTTGGATTTTAAACATATCACGCAGCCGACCCACAGCAGAGTGCGCACCCTGGACCTGGTCATAACCTATGGCCTGTCCGTGGGTGTGTCCTCTGTTGTGGATCTGGCTGTGTCCGACCACTTTTGTGTGTTTTTTAGCATCACCAGTTTTAACCAACAGGAGGCCCCGGTGAGAACAGTGAGGAAACGCTACCTAACTTCTGAAGTGGCTACAAATTTATCCAGATTTCACAGAGCACTCCTGCAGAGATTTTACCAGCACCCTGTGATTTTATTGTGGACAATTTTAACAACAAACTCAGGTCAACGCTGGACTCAGTGGCTCCACTTTTAATCAAAACAATTAGAACAAAACCTACACCCCCGTGGAGAAATCAGGAAATCAAACAACTGAAAAGATACTGCAGGAGTGCTGAGAGNCCAGATGGCCCTGCCCTCTCACTGGACATCAGTCAACCAGCTGCCAACCCAGCTGCCCTGGCCATGGCCATCCTCAGCTCCGCCAAATCCAGACACAGAGCTAGCAGCAACCCTCAGGTGCCACTGGTCATCATTAGCCAGCCGCTGCGAGAACCAATCACAGGCCAGAGTGTCATCAGCCAGTCGCTGCCTGGGCCAGTCGCAGGCGAGAGCAGCCCAGCCCCCCAGGTACCGCCAAAGAAACTGGATCAAAGTGGTGCAGAGCTTCAGACTGAGGTGGTGTTAGAAATTAACCAGATGTCTTCAGATCCTGAAGAATCACCTGGAGACATGACATCATTTCCTATGGCTCATGACCTGCCCACAGATGAAGACCTGCCCTCAGCAGAGGCGGAGCCAGCTGTTGTTGTTGTTGTGAGTGTTTTCCTCCGACACATATTACCCCTCATGTCAGGACACTTCCTGTTTCACAATAAAAGCCTCTGAGACAAGCTTTTAATGTGAAACATCAACAGGAAGCAGTTGATGTCTGTATTTTCATTATCGATCAAGTCTATTAATTCTGTGGTCAATGAAAATATTCACAGGAGCATTTATTGGTCAGCTGCTGCAGGAAGTGACATTGATCAGAGGAACTGATCAGTCCTGACTGTTGTTCATTGATTATTGTCTATGATTACACACTGATCAATAATATTAAATCATGTTTATTAACAGAACTGATGATCAATAACATCTGACCATGTTTACAGGAAACTGAAATAAAGATGGAGGCTGTCCAACAGATGCTCACCGACAGCAGACACGCTGAGACACCAAGGGAGACACCAGCAGTGACACCGACAGGTGAGACAGCATGTGAGACAGTAGGTGAGACAGCAGGTGAGACAGCAGGTGAGACAACAGGTGAGACAGCAGGTGAGACAGCAGGTGAGACTGTTGTCCCTGTTGTATTGTGTCCTTAGATGAAAAAGACTGATGTGTCTCTTCAGGATTGTGTCTTTATGAGTGAACAGCAGACTGTTGTCTCTGCAGTATTATACGATGAGACAGACTGTGACATGTCTGTGTCCTATGTTTAGCGAGGAGCGAGAAGGAGCAGCAGGAGCGAGGAGGAGGAGGGAGCTGTTGTCTCTGCAGTGTTGTGTTTTTAGATGAGACAGACTGTAAGGTCTCTATCCTGTCTCTGTCCTGTGTGCAGCGTGGAGCGAGGAGGAGCAGAAGGAGCAGGAGCGGAGGAGGAGGAGGGAGCTTTACAAAGACAAGCGTTTCTTCTGTGAGCTGTGTAACAAAGGTTTCCATCAGAAACACCAGCTGAGGAAACACGTGTCATGTCACCTGAAGCCGTTTCCCTGCAGCTCCTGCGACAAAGGTTTCTACAAGGCCAAGAGTCTGCAGAGACACCAGCAGAGTCACCAACTGAGGGAGGCTCAGGAGAATGACCCCGACAAACTGCTGCACTGCGACCAGTGCGACAGGAAGTTCAGGCTGCTGCGCCAGCTCAGAGTCCACCAGGCGTCACACCGGCTGGAGAAAATGCCGCTCAAGTGCCACGTGTGCGAGCGCACCTTCACCTCGGCTGGCGCACTCAGGTACCATGAGGTGTCACATGCCCAGGTTAAGCCCTTCATGTGCGACGTCTGTGGGAAGGGCTTCACCAGTAAGAAGAGCCTCCGTGAGCACCAGACCGTCCACACCGGTGCCCGACCATACCCCTGCCCCACCTGCGGGAAGAGCTTCTCCACCGCCAGCAACCTGCGCGTCCACAAGAGGTCGCACTCAGAGGAGCGGCCGTACAAGTGCTGCGAGTGCGACAAGGCCTTCAAGTGTAAGATGGGTCTGCTACAGCACCGAGTGGTTCACTCCGGAGAGAAACCCTTCATGTGTCAGACCTGTGGACTGAGCTTCGGCCTCAAGTACAACTTCCAGAGACACCTGCGCCTCCACAATGGCGAGAAACCCTTCAGGTAAACACACCACAGAGCTCAGATTCGACTTCCTCCGGCCGCAGGTTCATAGCAGTTGTTTAAAGACGTCACAGTGGACTTTAGAGATCTGACGTTGTGTCTGCCGGTCCTCGTTAGTTTTATCTGATGATGACAAACAGCAGCTGTTGTTGTTGTTCTTGTTGTTTATGTTGTTTACTCCCACAACATGTTGATCCAAAGCTTTGCTCCTCACGGCGCCATTAATCATTTCAAAATACAAACACCACAGCAGATTCAGTAAACAACAAACAAACAAACAGTTCTAATAGTCCTTTGAAGTGTTACTGTGATCCACACATTGATAAATTATCAAACAAACAAACAAACAGTTTTAAAGGTCCAGACAATCCAAATAAGATATTTCGTCCAGTCACGTGATGACATCACAGACATCCACCAGCTGCTGCTGTGTCCTCTCAGACTGTCAGAGTTCTCCACATGTTCTCCATCATGTCACCATCATGTGTGTAAACAAATCGACCAGCCGGGATCTTAAAATGGAGGCCAGCTCCTGACCTTTTGATTGACACCTCACTGGGCCAGTAAGAGCTATTGTTATGGCCTTGACAACTGTTGGGAAGAGGAGGAGCTAAATATGATCATTGGCAATAATTCATAATTATTAATATTAATTATGGATTTTTAAAATATTTGATTAATTAATTAATAACTAATTAATTATTACATAAGCATAATAATCAAATTAGCTTACAGCGGGGCACCACCGAGAAAACCCGGACCAATGATCAGACATAAATTCAGTCTCAAGAGTGCTCACTTAGGAAGCTAATTCTAGGGAGATATCAGCAACTATAAGATGAACAGGAAGGAGTGGAGCTCAGGCACTGACTTTGTCAACCAGCTTCATCACAGTATACGATGAAAAACCAGAGCAACCTCTCTTTGCAGTATAATAGGGTTTATTCACACTGATGACATTAATTTACAACCAACATCAACATTGCTCTATAAACCCCATCAACTATAAAACATTACCGAATCAACCAGCAAGCATCAAGAAGGGTGTGTGCGTGTGTGTGTGTGTGTGGGTGTGTATGAGGGTGTGGGAGAAAGTGGGTGAGTGAGCGAGAATGTGTGTGTGTGTGTGTGTGTGTGTGTGNAGTTGATGCGAGGACACTTGGTCGAGTTTTCTCCCAAGTAAAGCCCACAACCTGCCTTTTAGACCCAATTCCCACACCGTTTTTTAAAACATTTTATGGATTCTTTGAGGAACGAATCAACTTTTAGTTACCTTAAGGTGTGTGATCTTCATTCATCTATCTCTAAATGTAACCTACTTAACGTTACTTGCCTAAATCTAACCTATGTATCTTTACAATATGGGTAAGGGTTAGGGGGTTACGTAACGTCATCTGTTGAGTGCTAATTCATTAGATATCACATGATCTGTTGTATGCGCATTTTCATAAAATATCATACAAATTGTTGTAACAGGATACATCGCAATAATCGAGTAGTTTTTGTGCCTTTTATGTAAAAAGTTTTTACATATTTGCTACATAGTAACATAAAAAAGCAATATATCCATGGTTTGCAAAAACATACACTGCCAATAACTGAGCATAGCATTAGTTCAGGCAGAAAACGATGTCAAGCTTGGCTCACATCCCAGCTACATCAGCTGATCTCAAACAGCCAGTCAACTGATGGATCAGCTGATTGATGTAGGGGAAGTCAACTGATAGATCACATGATTCCTTTCTATGCAACGAATTGGCAAATCTTAGTCAGGGCATCCTACTGAAACTGCCTGCCTGGCCTGCCTACTGTTGCTGCTTACTCTGCAAGTCTTTGCAACATGCCTCCACCCCAGCTCCTCTTTTTTTTGCTGTGTCTGACTTATTGTCATTTCTGTTTGTCATTGATGCTGGGGGGGGGGGGGGGGGGGGGGGTCTTGCTGCTCTCCCTTCCTTAGGCTTTCCATGAAGGCACACAGAAGGGCAGAGAGATGTTCTCTCTCTGATTCAGGCTTTCCTCGTTTGTACGTGGAAGGGCAGAAAGGTGTGCTTTCTCCATCTTAGGCTTTCTGCGTAGGCCTAGGAAAGGCAGGGAGGCCCCAGAAAAGAGCCATATCTTAAAATATAATACAGCAAATGGAAATAAAGTTTTCTTTGACTAAAGTGGTCCTGACTGAAATACTTGTAATAGTAATAGTATGTAATAGTAATCTTTACAGGACTAAAAGGAAAAGGATTATGATCTTTGGGTAAATGTGTTCTGTGCCTTGATGTTTTGACAAGTCTCCAAAAAATTTGTTGTTTCACCAACGTCGATAACAATTAAATACAAGTTAGGTAACAGTATCTTTACTGGCTGCTGTGTTAGTTCAGATGAGAAACAAATACTTACTGTGCAACTTATCTATTTTTTTTTACATACAAACCTCATTTACAAACTGCCTGATGAAAAGCAGCTGCGGTAGCCTACAGAGTCGACTGTAAAGCAGAATTGAACTAAAGGTGAGAGATCTCTGTGTGCAGTTATGTTCAGGTGCACTACAGAAACAGGCAGGTTTACTCTCCCTGAAGAGAAAAGAAATTATGTGATTTGGGTGAAATTGAACATGAAGTCCATTTTACATTTTAGTGTTCATATTTTGATGATTTAAGGGGACTACACTTTGTAGTATGTCCATCTTTTCAGATGAGTCCTCCTGGATGAATGATTTTAAAAAACGCTCTGAATAAAATTTTTGGTGGTAGATTTTGTCAAGCTTGAGGCAGAGGACAATTCTTTGCTGTTTGTAATGTAGTGCAAAATGTAAGAAATTAGGCTCCTACGACAATATTTTTGGTGTCTTCTAAGTCCATATGGGCTGAATAATTGTATGTGGACTGAAAGACAATGAAAACTAACTGCAGCTTTTACTGCCACAGATTATGTTGCATGTAGTTTTCACATTAGCAAATTACATTTACTTATAATTACAACTAACCCATAGCTTACCTATTTTTTACCTTTTTTATTATTTTTCCTGTCATCTTATACATTTCCATATGTTGAAAATCTATTAGCTCACTCTTGAAACCTATTGCAGTATAATTGCTTGTTGATTTAAAAAATCTTTAGCGTATTACCCTGCAAGGATAATGTAACTCTGAGTCTGATGAGCTTAAAAGTCTGCTGTTTTACTTTCATACCATACGGAAACAAAGGGAAAACAATAATTGCCTGGAGCAGCAGGAAAAATAGACCTGGAAATCTAAAACTCCACAGCATGCACTTGAACAGCATAATAATGATAAGAGTTTTATTTATAGAGTGTATTCACAGAAGCAGGAAGTGCTTTCCAGAGGCAGAAAGATAAACACAGTGACCAGACATGAGAGGGTGGCATTAACCAGAGGCCTGCTATTTATTGTTGCTGTTTATATATTGATTCATGTAAGAAGCTGACAAGCTGACAAGCTTTGCTGCAACATAATGGAAAAAGAGGTAAACTCATAATAAAAGGATGCAACACATAGAAGAGAGATGAAGACTGAGTACTTATAACATAAGTTTTTAAGAAAAATCACCGTAAAAATAGCAAAAAATACCAGTACCAGTGTTTCGAACTGAGACATACTGTATATGTATATTTCACTAAATATAATATAAATATAATAATGACAGATGCTGATGTTTATCTTGGGAGGACTCTTAGGGTCTCTAAAATATGTTTGAATTTGGTTCAAATACAGGCACACCGTTAACCGACCTGATAAATGAACAGCATAAAACTTAGTGCAGCAAAAATGCTATATCCCTTAGTTATTAACCTGGACTGTGGAACAGCTACAGTGGAAACCCAAAATGTGGATTTTTGACCACAGCAGGTGCTAAGAAGTGTTTAGTTATATACGCCCAGTTGCCAGAAGAAAATGTTTGCATTGTACATTTATGCAAGCCACAAATATGTCACATTTACGGTTAGTTTCATACCAGGGATGTTAAAATACACATATTCATATTGAACAGTGCGGTTAGGTATGCATTACAAACTGAACGATTTGTTGAACTATGCTGTTACATTTGGAAAATAAAATGTACAGTGTTCAATATAATGGTCTCAGTGCCACTGCGCTCAAAAAGGCAGCCCACAGGACAGAACAGTAAACATACTGCCTGCCCCTCCCACCCCCAGACCAGAACATTCTGCTCCACTGAGACACGCCGGGAGGCAGCTATGCTAAGCTAGCTCATTACAAAATGTTTAGTAAGATGGCAGTGGCCGATGTTTTCTGTTGTGTCACATTATCTTTGCACAGGCTAAAAAGCAGGTCTCGAGACAGTCAGAAACTTTAATTAATGAGCAGGTACATGAAAAATTGAGTGACTTCTGGAAAATAGGCTCTGTGTTCTTGCTGTTGTGTGATGAGATGGCTAGTGGTGGGTGTCCCAGTAAAAGGTGTTGAGGACGAACAAAGATCTTCCCAGGGAGGAAAGGATGCAGTAAACTCACTGTTGTCGCTTCAGAGGACGCTCCCTATTTTTTCCCTGATGATGTTACACTAGTCCTTTTTAAATAGGAATTGTGCAAATTTGCAGGAAAGCCCTATCAGTCTTCTTTCAGCATTGGCAGTACCGGCAGCTGCCTACCTACTTTTGTTCATACAGAATGTGCCTTTTTCGGGGCAATGGGGGTGTGAGCAAGTAACAAAACGTGTAGCTCAGTGTGTGACGTAAACAGTGACGTACTCCGAGGGAAGCCGCGGCTGGTCAGTCTTTCGGCGATTCTCTCATAAGTTGGCCTGTCCTTCACCTTCCCCGTCATTTGACGGTTAATGGCCTCTTCGTTTGCGAGGACAAGGAGGTTGTGCAATTCCTTGTCTCCCCAGTTGCTCATCTTTACAGTGTCTTTCAGGTTTGTGTTTTCCTCTTGCTACTAGCTGCTCATTCGTTAGTCCACTGCCAGTGGGGCGCACATGCAGCGTCATCAACAGCTCCTCCCACAAGTCATCAACAGCCCCTCCCATGGCA